GTAGGGAAAATAGAAAGTAACGCCCTTAGCACAAAGCTACACCTCGTTTCCCATCCATATTGATTGCCTTTCTGCTTTAAGTACCATTCCTAAATGGCTTGCAGCTTTCTGCAAGGTGATGTCGAGGGCACATTACACTCTGAACACGTAGTTATAAAGCAAGCAAACAAACGGGGATGTTGGGTTGAACGGCCCTATTTAAAAAAAGCAAGCCGTGGCAAGACAGGTGCGGTGTCGTAAAGCAGTCAGCTCACAGATGTTACCCAAGGTTTAATGCCTCTCGCGGCTGTCCCACCTCCACCTGAGCTGCACATCAGCCTGACGACTGGCAGAGCCTTGCCGACTTCACGGCTCCCTTGCAAATCGCCTGGCCCCTGCATGCAATGATTGGCATCTGTCAGGAGCCGGATGATGGGCGGCATTGATGTAAGGCACCAACACTGCATGTGGAGAAGTCTAGCTACGTGCTGGCATGCTTCCCAGGGAGCAAATGCTTTACTGTCAGGAATGACTGGCATGTATAACACAGGGGAACAGTGCAGTCCAATGGTTAGCGTGCTGTGCTGCGAGTTGGGAGACCTGCATTCGGTCCCGTGACCTGCTGCAGCAAATGCTTCTCTTTCTCTACACCTGGTCCCCCTCCTCATTCTTGTCTGGCTTCGAGGCTAAACTCTTCTAGACACGTTACACTGTTAGTACAGTGCCCAGGTGCCATGATGTGGGATTCTAGCACAGCGGCATGCCTGCTTCCACCAGGAACCAATGCGTCCTTCCAGGAAGCTCTGGCAGGACTGAGACTCCTCAAGGTACCCAAGGGAGTTAGATGCCCCACTTCAGAGGACCTGGGCATAAATAAGTGCTGGCCACCCACCCCATTTGAAAGCCTAGCTTCAGTTCCCAAAACATTGTGAAGTGTGGGGTGGCCAGCAGGTCTGCCAAAACGGTCTTGTCATTCTACATCATCCACCATCCCCAGGAGAGCCTCTCGGCTTGCGTGGGGTCCAGCTCGTGTTCTCTCCACCACTGTGGGTTTCTATTTGCCTGAACATGCCTGGATTTGCAAGGGCAGATGCAATGCCCAGATCACTTCACCAACGTGCTGCATGCCAGGGCTTAAAGGAGCCCAGAGCCCCAGCGCTGAGACCCCTTCCCCTGCGATTACTGCTTTAGCCCCAGTGGCCGCATGATGACCCTGCCTACTCTCGAGTTTCTTCTTCATGCAGCGTGCAAGATTCGTTGCTGCATGAGCCAGGGGAGTCAAGTAGGATTGCCGAGTCTTTAAAAAGGATTGGCAAATTCAGGGTTGGTTAGTAGGGGTTGTGCTCGTGCATGCTGAGAGATGGGCAATGAGGCTTCACGCTTCAGAAGAGAAGCTGTGCACCTGCAGGGATCAAAGAAGGATCCCCACCAAGGAGCTCACCAGGTAGGTGAGAAAATGGCCATAGCTGGAGACACGGGAGTGGGTAGCACAGGGGCCTGATGGTAGAGAGCAGAGCCCAGGGGAAATGAACTCAGCTGGTGAAATCTTGGCCCTATGGTTATATCAGGGCAGGTGCCAAGCTAGGAAGCACTCAGTAGAGCTATGCTGGACTTCTGGATCCATTTGAATCAATTAAAACCAAAGGAAAAGAGGCACCTCAATTTCTTTGGGGAATCAGCACCTCGGCTATTGGGGTGCCAAGCAGTTTGTGCTTTGTGGGGCTGATCTGGAGTGGATATAAATCCAGGGATCCACTCACGTCAGTAGATGGGGGGGTTCGTTTGGCACCATAGTTCCTGGCCTGTCCGCTCTTCAGCGCTTGCAGCATTCATTGCCTTGTCCTTTCCCATTTCTTCTTTCCTCCTCCTCCGAATTCCCACCACCGAACACTAATTTTAGAATTGACGTTTCAGCAATAGAGAACAAAAAAAGAAAAAAGAAGAAAAAAAGAAGCCAGGTCTGTGCAAAACTGATGCAAAAAAACCCCGATCTAATTTCTTTCCTGGAGTTTTAAGAACTGCTGCTTTCCCATCAGGGAATTCACTTAATTTCTGCATGTAAATCTAAAATCAAACGCTGGGCACAGACAGAGCAGCGGGCAAGGGTTCGGTTGTGTAATACGGCATTCAAAACCAACACACATCCCAAAACCAACGCTATTTTCGATCAGTCCTGACTGAGGCCAAAAGTCCCGATCCCTCGGATGGGTTGTAAAGACAGAGCTCAGCGTAGGGCTGTCTTCTCCTTGTTGGGCTCTCATGGTTTGATCCCAAGCTACCTTGGCCCAAAGAGCCCTGGCTGGTGAAACTTCTCATCTCCAGTTCAATGGCACGGATGCAACATGCTCCCGGTCAGTGGCTAGCCTCCATTTCCCCAGGTATTTGCACTTACATGCCTGCTAGAGCCAATTACCCAAACATCCCTCTGTTATCTCTGGACGTGCCAGGGATTCCACCATGATCTATGATGCGAAGAATCAACTGACTGGTGCTAAATGTGATGTATTGAGCCATCTTCCCAGCCTTGGCTGCAGTCTTTTTTTTAATGTAAGGCAAGTCCTTGAAAGGACTTTGCTAATTATGTAGTATATAGCTTGTGGGTTTAATGATTTAGCCTTGGAACAACTATTTACGTGGCAAATGCAAGGATCTCTTGTTACACCTGAAGTGACGGGGTTTTTTTCCCCACTCTAAGTGATCAGTAGCAAGAAAACCACAATTGCCTAGACACGCGGATAAAGCTGCTTCAGGAAATAATTGGGCAAGATCCATGCCCTTGGCTTGTATGAAACCCCTCTTGGCAAGCAACAGGGCCCAATTCACATGGACTGGTTCAGAGACAGCATCTCATCCTATAGCTGCAGGATTGCAGTGGGTACAACAGGGAGACATCAGGACAGACTGCATATCCCCCCCAAGCTCTCCAAGCATCACAGGGGTGCAGCCTGGTCTGGTAGACCCCCTGGTTGTATAACCCTGGGCCTGGGTGCACCGTGGGATTGAGGGGCTGGCTGCATGCCCAGCTGTGTGCTGAGCCCAGACTGCGTGTTGCTCTCTGGGTCCTTCATGCTCTCCCATTGCACCTGCCCTTTAGCGGAGGGGATTTTCTACAACCTACAAGACAGCTCCCCGTCCCCTTCCCTCTGTCCGGTGGTGTGTCTGCTGTTCCTGTCCTCACCCACTGCCATGCGCCTTTTGGGCCATGGTGGCAAGGGGTCATTTAGAGTAGCCCCGAGGCTGTGTGCTGCAGGCCAGGCCATGAATCCAGAGCTATTGCCCATTGCAAATTGTGCTGCAGCTCTTGCTTTTCCCAGCAGAAGCCCCCAAATTCCCACCCCCAGCATTTCTTCCCCTTCCAATACAATGCCGGTAGGAGCTGGTGTGGCCTGAACAGTGGCTGCAAAGCCCGGCTATTTCACTGTGGATGGCTCCTTTCCAGACTTATCCGGCCTGAAGCTAAACAAGTGGAGGAATTCATAGCACTTGGCCTTCAATGCCTCTGAAAATCTCAGTGTTAGGCTCTCGTAGCTTGATCCCAAGCTATCTTGGCCCAAAGAGCCCTTGCTGGTGAAACTTCTCAGCTCCATACATTGCTTCCCCTCATCCTCCAGAATATGCTTTATTTCTTAGTTGGTCTAATAAAAGGTATCATCTCTGAATTGAGAGTTTTAGAGTTTTGCATTTCTTTTTGACTCAGACCAACACAGCTCCCAAATAAAGGGATGTATTTGCTTTTGCATTCATTCCTTGCATCTGCATGGGTCCCTCCCACCCCGCTTTTTCCTTGATTTAAATTTCTAGGCCAGCTGAAGTAAGTCACACTGAAGAGGTGCAGTATAATGTTTAGCAGGGGAGGAGGGGAGAGAACGCGAGGAAGCTGAATTTGTCTTCTCTGTCTTTCTTTCAGCAAAATACATTGGCTGCTACGTGGACAACACTCACCAACGCGCCCTGCGTGGCGTGTCCTTCTTCGACTACAAGAAGATGACAGTGTTTCGTTGCCAGGACAACTGCGCTGAACGGTACGGTGGTAAATGAACACGGCATCTTCATTAATTTCAACCCATCAACAGTATTTCTCTCTTGTCAGCTTAAGCGCTCCAGCACCTTGCCCATTTTTCTCCTGCTTCCTCCTCCCGTTATTTTTAAAGCTCCTCAGCCGACATAGCCAAAGATCCTGGGTTTTGATTTGGTTTTGTTTTGTTTTTTTAAAACTCACCAGGAAAACCCTCTTCTGATGACAGGCAAGCTGTGAGCAACTTCATCCCTCTTTGGTCCCGCGCGGAGATTGCAATAAAGATTTGGCCGGGCTCAGGGCTTGCAAAAGTAAAAGCCGGTTGCACTACTCAAGCTGCCCTGTTCCAAGATGTGTTTGGAGTCTAACATTTCATATCCCAGGGAGGACTTGCTCAGGGAAGGATTCAGCACAGCACCATGTGCTGAATTATTACTCGAATAATGCTTGACGCTGGACTAGGGCTGTGCAGGTCTTAGGTGGGGCCTGGGCACAAGAAGAAGCATCGCCTGCTCAGACGGGTCTCGGACTCTCGTTTCAAACGCACAGCTCAGGTCTGAAAAGGAACAAGTGCCCGGACTGCAAAGCTCACAAATGCATGACATGCAAAATGAAAAAGGATACACACGCAGTGCAGTCGCGGTGTGACACACGAGGGATCTTGCATCTTTCCAGGCTGCTCTGTGTTGCTTTTAAACAACAGCAATGAATTACCTTTCACCCCTGAATCCCTCTAGCCAGCTCTTTCTCTGGGCAGGGCACTTGCTTTTCTGCCGGGTAGGTGTGGAGGGAACAGACTGACCTTCATGGAAATTAATGTCTGATTGTCTTTATTCCACATGTAAACCCTTCTACTGCAGGCAACTTCTTAGCTCTTGCTACCACCCCCCGCTGGGTATGCAATCCAGGGCAGCAAGTTATCCTCCCAAACATCCCTGCAAAGAAAAGCTCTTAGCTTTTCAGCTCCCCCCACCATTTAGAGGGGAAACTGAGGCACAGAAGTGCAAAGGCATCAAAGTGGAGTGGCAGGCAAAAGACAGACTCAAAGCCATAGTCTCTGAGCAGTCAGGGTGCCAAGGCCAAGTTTCAGGCCGGAGACCAGAGCTGGCACAGTGGTCACTTGCTCTGGGGTCAGCAGTGTTGCTGTATCCCTGCCAGTCTGTTAAAGGGCTGAGCAGTGTCTGGCATGGTGTGGACGAACGGGGCAGGGTTGCCAATTGGGCCTTGGGCCTGGGAGGTTTTCAAAAACACCTAAGGACCTACCTAATTCTCTCCATGCATCCCACTGGTCCCCTCTCTGCATCATTCAGTGTCCAAATACCTTTAGAAACCAAGCTGCAAGGGGCATGCCCAAGGGCATTAAACTCTAGTGGCCTGATCCCTCTCAGAAAATTAGAAGCTTGTGCTTCTTTCAAACCTTCCTGAGCACCAGCCCTTCCGTAGAGAATGCCCTACCAGCCTCTGAAATGCATCGGACAGTGGCTGCCTATTGCCAGATAATCCCTCCCCGCAACTTCCCTTATCACCAGCAATTACCGCCCTGACGCCTGCCCCATCGGGAGGCCAAGTCAGAGGACGGAGGTCCTCCAGAGTTTTATGACATCCTTGAGCTGTCCCATTAGTGCTGCCACTGATACACCCAGGGTCATTCTCTGCTCTGGCTCCCAGCGCAAAACAGAGGCAGGCCTGAGCTCTCATCCAGGGAGCCACGCTATGTTGGAGCTGTCTGTGGAGATAACCTTGCTGCCTTCTCTTGCCTGCCTTGTGCTAGTGCCAAAGGAGTTACGCTCCAGGCTATACCTGTACTTGGCAGCTGCAAACGTGAGCTAAAATTTGCAGTGCTTCTATGTCAACTTCCAGCATCCTAATACCTGAGAGCGCCCCGCTGTCAGCCCTCGCACTTCTGAAGAAATATAGCTCCCCGTGAGGTTCGCAGGATGAACTGTGAAGATTTATGAACCCGCAGCTGTTAGACCAGGTAAAAGAGGTGTGCATGGTGAGGCTGTAGCCAGGTGTGTGCAGCTGACAGCAGCTGGCACAGGTTTGCAGGTAAGCACAAAGCCATGCACCCAACACAACTGATTGGCCCCCTTAGGTACGGCCAACGATAGCTCGGGAGATGGTTTCGACTGCAGACTCACCAGGCCAACAAATCTTCTCTGCTCTTGGGCTGAGCACGCTGCAGTTATTCAATAAATAATCGTGAGGGAGCCTCAGACTTCACCCATCCTCTCTCTTTGCCTCTGTGGGATGGCTACACACGAGGCATCCCGCTTGGAAAGTTGTGTCACCGGAGCTGCATTTGCTGGTAGATGCTGTGACAAGCTCTGACCCCTTCTCCGAAGCGCAGTGGTTTTCATCTCTGCTTTCACTTTGCAGGCTTGCTCCTGCGTGCCACGTCCCCTTGCAATCTTCTCCTTTCATATCAAATCTGTATCAAGTACGGGAGCTTTCCTCTTTTGAAGCCCCACAAAGTCTCCATCACTTATTATTTCTTCTGCAACACACATAATGCCCTTTTGCCTTTAAGTAATGCTGCTGTCTCTTGCTTTATGATCTATACGATGCACTAAGCCCTTTTTCTTTTAAAGTGATGCTGCTTCCAGCTAGTGTCTAGTAAATCATCAACAATGGCCACACACCGAAAGAAAAGATCATGCCTGCTTTGTTCAGAGAACTTGAACCACAGCAAGACTCCCCTGGCGACTAGGACTCTCCTACAGGCTCTGGGAAAACTGGTGCCCTGCTACCACCAGCACACGGAGGAATATAGGCTGACACGTGAATGGACAGGTTGCTATAGAGCACGCTAAGGGCAGCAGAGCCCGGCAAGCCAAGCAGTGAATTTCCACAGGCCCCCTTCTCAATCTCATGCCTGGTTTACTCTGCAGGAGCTCCATTTTCACACATGGAGCTACTCCTTGTTGGAGTGTATCCTGCCCGTCTCCAACTGCTGCACCACTGTGGGGCTTGAGCCATTTAAAGAGCTCCTCTGGTGCCTCTTGGATGCAGGAGTTAACAGGTGTGCAGGGTATTATTGATTACTTTTTGGGCATCATCATGACCTGTCTTGTGCTTGAGGACCGTTTTCTACAAGAACCTGATCAAAAGCCCATGGAAATCAATGAGGTTAGGGCCAGGCCTTATGACCTGGATACAGATATCTTAAGTCATTACATGGGTTTTGCATTGCCGATTTGAAGAGCAGCTCCTCTGGATCTGAAAGCAAATATATCCTAATGTGACACGGGTCAGAAATGCTCCCCCGAGAGGCGTGCTTCTCTCCTGGCAGTGCTCTGAACACGCTGAATAAGGAAGGGCCCAAAAGGGGAAGAAGTACCAGGTTTGAACAGGATGCCCCCCTCTAGCAGGCACAATTCCTGCACGCCGGACCTCCTGCAAGAGGCTCTGATCTGCACATGTCGACGGGGCTGCACAGATGGCAGCTGGAAGCCTGCTTGCTGAAGGCCAAATCCTGAGCGGTGCTAGCTGCAGTGGGGGGGGCATCGTACTTCCTGGGATACTGGCAACAGCCAGGGCTTGCTATCAGAGTTGGGATCCACTGTGGTGAGCCAAGATGCATTTCCCCCGTGGTTTATGCAATAGAAATGCACAGGATCTGCCTGGTGGAGGAAACAGCCCTAGATTATGGGGGGGGGCATCGTACTTCCTGGGATACTCAACAGCCAGGGCTTGCTATCAGAGTTGGGATCCACTGTGGTGAGCCAAGATGCATTTCCCCCGTGGTTTATGCAATAGAAATGCACAGGATCTGCCTGGTGGAGGAAACAGCCCTAGATTACAAGTGCCCTGCACTAGGGAGCCCTGTGCATTTCCCCGAGACCAGCTAGCGTGATTGCAGCCAACATTGCCAGCAGCCTTAATGGATTACCAGTCGCTCCCCTCTAGCAAGGCCAAAATGCAATCTCACATAACTTTTTTCTACCCCCGATGCTGTGATCCCCCAGCAGATCTGCCCTTGTTCCTTCCACCCGTGCTGTCTTGCTGTCCTCAGTGCAGGACGCTGCTCTGACTCTGCTCTCTCCCTCCAGGGGCTACCTGTATGCAGGGCTGGAGTTCGGGGCCGAATGCTACTGCGGACACAAAATCCAGGCCGTGAACGTGAGCGAGGCAGAGTGCAGCATGGAGTGCAAGGGGGAGAAGAGCAACATCTGCGGAGGTGTGAACCGGCTGTCCATCTACCGGCTGGAGCTGGCTCAGGAGTCCGCCCGGAGATGTAAGCAATCGCCGTGTTGTGGTCTGGCCCGGAGGTGGCTGGCAGGAATGGACAGGGAGGTGCAACAAGGGCACAGAGAGGGTCCTCGCCCCCTTCTGCATTTTCCAGAGGCACATGCCCTCTTGGCCTTTTTGGGGGGTGGACCCCACATCTTTGGGTTCCTGCGATGGGCGACTGTTTGCATTTCAACCTTAGTGGCCAGGACAGCTGGAAGCAGCCCTCCCCTCCCCATGCTCTATGAAGCTGGTGGTTCAAAGGGACCAGCGGAAGATGAGGCTGCAGGGGAGAATAAGAGTTGGGTGCACGTGGGAAGGGGGGTGCAGCATGGCTTTAGTTGACCTTCGGTGCCTCCAAATAACATTCAGAGGCATCTCCAAGCCCTCCCCACTTCCCAAGCTGTGAGACCCCCCCCCACAGCAGTCACAACAGGTGCCTGGTGAGATCAAGACCCCTTGCGTCTTGGGGGGCCATGGGAGAGGGTCTCGCATGAAAGTGATCTCGGTCCTACCAGGGTCGAAGCAGTGGCATTGTCCCCCATGTTGCAGCTGTAGTTTATCCAGGAGGCGGCTTGCACCAGGGACTGGGCACCCCTTGCCTCTCCTAACAGCAGCTGGACTCCATTTCTGGCATTAGGGAACATGACAGCTTCCCCGCTGCTCCCCTTCCCCTGTCCCCATCACCCCACGCACACTCTTTGCAGCTCACGTCATGGTGAACCACCCCGCAAGCTGCAATTGTGTCACCTCCCCTAGAAAGAGGGGGACTTTCTATCATCTGTCACGGGGGGTTGCCTTCGCTGGCTCTCTCTGGACCAGGTCTGGGCGACTTCAGCTCAGGAAGAAGGGAAAAAACCAGGGCTGGGTTTGGCTGCCTTCTGGGAGGAGCCCTGGATTCCTGATCTATAACATCTTGGTGAACACCCACTGCGACGCCGGGGGCCGTTATTATGACGGACTGGAACCGCTTGAGTCGTGCTGGTGGGGGCCGCGGGAACGTGCGCGGGGAATTATTCAGAAGAGGGCTGGAATAGATCGTGCCGACTCGGCTCTCCGTGACAAGACATGAAAGGGAAAAATTCAATACTGGATTCATTGCACTTGGAGCTTCCCCCCCCCTTCTCTTCCTTCCCTTTCAGCCTGATGCCATCTCTCAGAAAGCCTTATTCTCTCAGACGAGCTGCACTTAATGATCATCTGGCAGCAGGAAGATGAGGGAAACTGTGCTGTTTTACAGGAAAAAAGTCTCCATCTCTTCACTGATGCTTTTCAGGCACCAATATTTTTCGGTATCCCCTGTGTAGCAGACTGGACATACCCATGCCCAATCCAGTAAGAAATGGCTGGGATTCGAGTGCACTCGCATCCTACGACACGTCCTCTGTTTCTCTTAACAGTACTTGTTCGGCTCCAATTAAACTTGCATTATAATTACCCACAGTCGAAGCCTTTTTTTTTTCTAACCCACTGGCCAAGAACGGTGATAGTTAAATGCGCGGCATCATTCGGAAATGGCTCTAATTGGGGTCTTGCCATAATCATCTTAATCAGGAGTGACAGACTCCAAGAGCATAATTTAGTAGCTAACTACAGAGAGGACTCTGGAGGTAGCGCACTTTCTGTGATGATGTCCCTGGATGGTTTTTTTCTTTCAATGAACCTTGCAAGGAGAGAGCAGAGTCGAGTCTGGGGGTAAAATGGACGTGAGAGCACAGGAACACGCTGGGATTTGAGCTACAGGAGGGCAAAGGCTTGGGTTAACGTCCAGTCCCACGGGACAGCGGTAGGAGCATAAGGAACTTGGTCACTGAACCGGCGGGCATGTCAGACATTGAGCTCAAATGCCATCTTAGGACAGAGAAGGCAGGAAGGGAAACAGCAGGAGATGAAGGATTTACCCAAGGTTATCCAGAAAGTGGGTGGCGGAGCTGGGATGAGACGCCAGCCAAGTGCACTGAACCATTCGAGCAGCATAGCAAATTAGGGCTGCAAAAGAGCTAGAAAAGTAGTACCACCTGCCCCACCTGTACTCGAACCATGCGTGTAATCACCTCTTTGAAACCTCCAGCGAGGGAGAGTGCCCGTCCTCCCTAGGTGACCGGTTCCAGGGCTTAACTGTCCCTACAATTAGAAAAGTTTCTAATATCCAACCTCGGTCTCCTTTGTTGTCACTTCTTGTCCTATCCCCAGTGGATGTGGAGAGCAGTCCACAACCTGCCTTTCTCCGGTAACCTTTGAAGTCTTTTATCATAACTCTCTCTGGTCTTCTCTTCTTTGGACTAAGCCAACCCAGTGCTTGCCAGCTTTCTTCCTTTCCAGTGTTGCTTCTCCCTGGGTTTTTCTCCAATTTCTCTCCAGCTGCCAGGCTAGACACCAACAGGAAGCCAGGGCACTTGGCCCAAGAAAACCCTCCCTTAGGGATTACAGGGTGGTCTGGAGGCTGCTGAGCTCTTGATGATGGTCCTCGTTAGAAAGCAAGGTGGTCCCATGGGGCTGCCCGCTTCTCCCAATTCCTAGTCAGTAAACATCACTAAAAGCTCAACCTACCTTCACTCTTCTCCCCATCGTTGCTTTTCCGGGTAGACAATAGCTGTCAGGGATGTTATGGGACAGGGCATCGTCTGAATAATGGCACTCTCATTGTGGGACTTGAGAATAAAGCTGCTTTTTGCAAATGGCAGCCGTGCCTGAGGAAGCCGAAGCAGCTCTCTCATTGAGTAGCTTGAGACAGAGTCAGGAATAATGCCCAAATCTTTGCTGGCGTGATTGTGCAAGTACTGAAAATAGGCAATCCTATGCAGACAGTCCAGTAGCTTGAGACAGAGTCAGGGTTGGGGATAGTACCCAAATCTCCCAGCACCCCCGGGCCAGTATATCAGTCACGCGGCTGGATGCATAGCCTGTTTTCAGATGCTGATGGCAGAGAAAACATCTGGAAGCCATGGCGAGCATTATAATGTGCCCCAGGCGTTTGCTTTTGATGATGAGGGTGGACTGCAACGGGCATGAAGTCTGCAGGAAACTTGGGTTGACCCTTGCCTTTCATCGGCTGCTGCAAAACGCTCTTCATGAAAAGCACCTCGTTGCTGAGCCTGCCTCTGTGCTGAAACCTTAAGGATGCGGCAGAGCTCTCGGGCACTTGGTAGCATCGAAGTACCGGAGAGCTGGCCATCGTGTCTGCCAAAAACCAAGCAGGGAGAAAGCAGATATTCTTGGGGAGCTGACGCTCCTCTCTGGAAATACATTATCAACGTAGCGGGAAAGGTGTGTCGTTGTGGAGCTGCCAGGCTCCATCCAGATCCCTTGCGGGCTGAAAAATGGACTGTCTGAATAGGATTGCCTATTTTCAGTACGTGCACAATCAAGCCAGCAAAGATTATGGGATGTGCCTTGCTAATTAGCTCATTCCTGCCAGGCAGACCAGCGTCCTCACATCCTTAAAGAACCTCCTCACATAATAAGCGATTGCTCTGTAAATATGCTAATTCATTTGAATTTCTCTGATTAAAGACATAGACTTAATCATGGCAGTGCGGGCTGGACAGGACTTGGCTGGCATGTGAGACAGATTTGGGTTTATGGATCTCAAATGGCTTGAGCCTGAAACCCAGACTGCTTCAGTGACAGCTAATAATAGCAATAGATTGCATGTTTATGCTGCTGGTAATTACTCACAATAGCACGAGGCATTACAGTTACTCTATTGATTGCACTGAATTGGGCCAAAAAGACTCCAGCCAAGGCTCAAGATGCCTGTGGTGCCAGGCACTGTCCAGACATGGCACAGGTAGACGGTGTCTCCTGCACCGGTCTCGGCCAGTGTCCTACGACTGGCATCAACCTGCTTTCCAGAGACCAATGAATTAAGCAGTTTAATTAAAAATTAAGCTCCCTCCCAGCTTGCCAGCCTGGGAGGACAAGTTTAACCCCTTTGCTGCTGCAATGTAGTGTGACAGCATTTCTGTGTGGCTCTAAATCAGCTGATTTTGACCCTGTCTGGCTTTCTGCCCCTTCGGGCAGGGGGCTGGGCTCGAGGATCTTCCGAGATCCCTTCCAGCCCTAATGTCTATGAAATCTATGACTGCAGCATTTCTAACACTGGCTGGGAACCACTGCAGACTTCTCCTGGCTTGTCTTCTTCTGTCCTGACAAGGTCTTCTCAAGCAACCAGCCTGTGGTAGATGGACAAGGGCCAGTCTGGTGGGGAGGGCGGCCCTTGCCCCACGTGGCTTTTGCCCCACTGCATCAGGCAGGTCACAGGAAAGGATAAAAATAAAGAACAAGAGTTTGCTCCTGGGCTTTTTGCTCCAATTTTGCAGCATAAACAACCAGCAAAATGCAGTGGCTGAGGTCTTGCCGGAGAGGGCTTGCGGCAGGAACGGAGCTCGTTCTCAACAAATTGCTTTTAGGGCTGTTTTGCTGCAGCTAAAAATGACTCATTCAGATGCGATTAGCAAGTCAGGCTTCACAGCCACTGGACGGCGGAAGACAGAAGAAAAGCTAGTTCTCCCCAGGCTCACACGGCTGTAGGAGTGTCGCGGGGGCAGAGGGGGAGCAGAAGGAAGGAAGGGAGCTTGTGACTGCCCGATGTACGCTTCTGCGTCTGTGGCTTGTCAAGGGACGAGGAAGGAAATGCAGCGCTACCAGTAGAGCAAACCCCTCAGGGAACACGGGGCTGTGTCCTGTGCCTCGGTTTCTCCAAAAAAGAAAGTACACTGAACTGCACATAAAAGAAATTACCCTCTGGAGGGTGGGTCCATCAGGGCTTCCTTAGGTTCTTACAAAGTGCAAGATGAGCATCATGCAGAGGGGAAAGGGCTAAGCTGAGATTTGGAAAGGAGGGGCTCATTCCTGCCTCTGCCACTGATGCCCCACATGGCCTTGGCCATGTCTTCTCATCTCCGAGCGCCTTGTTTGCCCACCTTGCCTATGTAGAGTGCGCACTCTTTGGGATAAAGAGCATCTCCCACCCTGTGCCTGACATGCTGGGGATCGCGTTATGGC